ACTGCAAGTCCCGCTCGTTAATTCTAGTTTTCCATTCCATTTACATTCCATTCAAATTTTCGGTTTCCGACCAGAATTCTGTCGAAAGAACATACACGTAGGAGGGTCCAGAAACACGAACGAGACTTTACACCTCATTGATGTTCAACGAGTTATGGTTGGCATAAATTGACAGGTGGGGGGGAAGGATGACCTGCTCCTCCTGTTCTTGTATAATTGCATACATATTCAATTTATAAAGGAATTTAGAGTAGAAAAGGCAAACCGACATAATAATAATAATAGACACTATAATAAACATTTCCCAATAACTTATCAATATGAATATCACTATTAGGGTCGCTCACCAGAAAGTTACGCGTATTTCATTACGTCTTAGCAAGGGAAAATACGYATACCTGTTGAATGCAGCTTCCGGCAATGTAATACAATTATCAAGCTATTTATAATAAAATGCCTTCGATTCCCCTRTAAGAATCAACTTGAATAGAAAATGGAGTCAAGCGGAGACAGGTACTTCAATTCCTTAGTCATCCAATTTGGCATGGAGATATATGAAATAGTACTAGAACTTTGCACTGCACAGTTCCTTCTGGTGCATTTTAATCAATAGTGATCATGAATTTGATTCAATAAATCGARCGCTAATCCCAATGGTAATAACGTGCTCATTCATGTTCTTTTTTCCCATTGGCTTGGGATCAGCAGCAATTATTACGTCATCGGGTAGGATCCTGAGTGGTTGTGCCAGCCATTCCGAGTGTGATCGATGACAGTCAGTGTGGCAATSTATAAATCATCCATGCCAACCATGTCGCTCATTAATATGTTACATCGATCACTAGTCGGTTAGTACAGATGGGAATGGTGCAACAATACGAACATTGCTCTTTGATTGAGTTTGACCTTATAGACTACAGTATTCTCGTTAAGAAATTATGTCACCAATGTAAATTATCACCTAGTCCGATARCCTTACATGGATCCATCATGTTGCAAAAATAACTAAGAAAGTAAGAGTTTGTACTTCTTAATACAGTCAAAGCGGCCAGAATTCCGGAAAGAGATCTAGTTTCATTTTATGCAACATGTATATATAATACTACGCTATTCCAGCTTTTTATCACACCCTTCCACAATATTTAAGGGGCGAGCTTGTACGATTAGAGAAAAAAGCCTTGTCTATGCGGCTGGTAATTTCAGATCATTTTGCAGAAGAACGCAAAAAGGTGAATTATCTGCTATAATTTCACAARTTAGTGTATTTTCTAATATTTTATTTAATATCTGATTCCGACTTCATGAAAGCTTTCTTTAGCTACAATATTRAGGCAATTCTATGTGGGGAACATAGCAAATTAGAAGCTTCTTTTGGCTATTGTTTTGAGTGCTTATGATTGGATAAGAGGTTTTAATACAAAAGAAACTTTGTTTCAAAATAGAGTTTATCAACATTTTATTTCAAAAATGTCTTAGCCACAGATTGATATATAATTAATGTGAAAACCAAGACATTTGTATGTGGGGAAGTTGCAATGCCGCAGAACAATAGAGAGTTCTATAGTTCTTACGCACATTGTTACTTAATATGAATAAAGATGGAATATTCTTTTCAAGTGAGTCATTGTATATATTTTAATTAGAGGCATTGTCATTTCAAACATATATATTATTTTATAAACYTCAATAAAAACTCAGGCTCAAAAAAGTGATATCTTTCACATGTGACAATAATACGTTATCTCGGATACTCCTTAAATAACTGTCATATTTCTTGCGTTATAAATATAAATTTCAGTTTAATATATTAAACGAGAACATCGCGARCGAGTGAGAAATCAATGGAACACGAGAAGACAAGCGCTTTTTTAAAGCGTATTAAACGTATTGAACCATTACTCCAATAAGGGTTGTCTATCTGGTTAGGTGATTGACATTARTGGTGTATCAGATTTACAACACGGTCGTCACCATTGAGAAAAACAATACTAGCAAAGGTCTCAATTTTAATATCGTATCGTAGACCGTCACGAGATTATAAGTTTCCAGAGACAGATAGCAGCACTCCCTTATCCAACATGCCTTACTTTTCCATGTGGGATAAATAATTATTCAAAATGTTATGATTTGCGCATGCTTAATAGCGACAAAACTTCGTCGTCATTTTTCGTTATTTATCTCACTGTAATTCATGTTGATTAGTGTTGGCGTTCCATAAGCCGTTTACAACATTCCAYGTCCGTGATGTATAGGAATTACAATCTCTCGCCTGGTGTCACAGATATTCAGTTAAAAACGTTTACTCAAATGCCAAGTAGAGCATGCGCTTTAGCTAAAATTAGGTTTATACAAAACAGAACGTTGAGAACTTGGCACATGGACCACATATTTGGCAAATTCGAGAAGGTATTCTAAGAAGATCTTAAGTTAAATCACCATATGACCCTAGCCGGTTGTCAACAAATCAAGAATGTTAGGGAAATACATGCCGTATCACTTTCATCGGTAAAAAAGGCAGTCGYTCATTCACAAGATTCAATTTCACAAATTCATCAAATGGCAAATCTATCGCCGCATGAGATGAAAACAAATCTGTTGAATATTGGAATTCGCAGTGGGTAAACAATCCAGAAAGTTTTGCTAATTTAACTTTAAATAGGTCGGTAATTATAAGAGACTGCTGTGCAAAGAACGGCAAATGACATACCTTTAATTCTTGAAAGGCTTTAAAATTGCAAACTGTTTGTTGCTCGAGGCATTTTGATCTGTAAAGTTCCAATACAACACAACACAGGGACCTCTAGCTGATTGTAAAGATGCTAGCAAAAGTCTTTACAACAATTTTCTCAAGTCTCTTCATTGTTGGGACAGTACAAACATTGTCACTTAAAGAGGAACTGAAAAAATATAAATTCGGGCAAAATGGTAAGTTAATGTGAAGAGAAGAAACTCAAACTTGACGTTCCTACTGTATGTGTTAGGTTGTAAATAGCGCAACGAGTTACATGAGTTTCTATACTGTGTGATCTTTGAAATGAAAGTTGTACTCTATGAGYCTAACGAGGCATTCGTGATGACAAATATAGACTGATATTCATTTGGGTGATGACATTCCGAAMTTGGGAAAAAGTTCAAGTGTTCAGAATGATCCTTCTTATCGTTAGGCATTTATTGTTTACTTTAAAGCGCTTGCGGTATCGTTTGTTTGTTTGTTTGTTTTCATTGTTGCATATTTATGTTCCTTTAAGGCTATGCCTTGTGATTTTGCAAAAAATGGAGGGAAAGGGTTATAATAGAATTTTGCTCCAAATCAAATAATAATAAGTGAATTAACTTCACAACAAGAAACTGGATCATAATTAAAGTAGAACTATTACCGAGCTGAATTCCTTGAGTTTTATCTTTTAAACATTTACCGTTACTTTTAATTAAACTGGTAATCCTCGAACTTGTTAATTGTAGTATGTTCTTGCCCGGTTTGAATATTTACTCATTCTTATACCAATTGTTCTATTGATTTAGAAAAAAACAATTGACATGTAAGTAAATGAAGTAATGTTTACAGGCCTCTGCTTCGGATTTGACGAAATTTATAATTCGATCTGCACAATTAGTTCTGAAACTCCGMGAGACGAAGCTTACTTTAGAAACTCATTAATCATATGTGCTGATGAGCGATCGACCTAGAACATGACATTTTCGTCCCATATCTGATAGCGTCGGGTTTTCTTGTGAAGAAACAGCTCTTTGAAAAGTGTTCGGGCTTACAATCCTGAACAAAAAGAGTTGAGATTATTTTGAAAATCACTGAATGTTTGAAAGTCTCCGTATATTTTTGATTATTTTCTGCCCTTCCGTCGACCCCCTTCGCTCAAAGTTGTGTTTTMGAGAGCACAAAACTCTGCTGGATTCTGTTTGTGTGCTAACAACACTGAATTGTATTGTTCTGTTTAACTGACCTGAARTTACCTAAACTCATGGGGAGACTGGGAACGAGTATAAAAATCTTGCACTTAACCCCGATATGTAAAAGACCATGAAACAATTAGTGTTAATTTCAGATTTGAGTCTATTTGGTGAAAAACTCACAGATTAGCATTTTGTTTAATTTGCAAATATCAGAAAGAATGTGTGGTTGTTGGAGAAGCTCCCGAATTTTAGRATTTTAAACGCATGCACATCTGTAATTTTTTGTCTGTATATCCTCAAAATTTGCAGATATTCTTCGTCAGATTACAGATCACAGCCGCCATCTTGGTTGAACTTTAATAGTAAAGGATTTTAATATAAGTATCTATTGTTCATTCCTTCGGCATGGTCGCTGATTGATCAATTGATCGTTTTCAACCATTCCATGAGATTCAAAAGATAAAAGACCGGCGGCCATGTTGAAGGAATGGACAATAGATACTAATGAGAAATCCTTTGTTAAAGTTCCTCCAAGATGGCCGCTGTGACGTAAACTGAAAACTAAGCGTGTTTGTGACTAAGCACCATTCCTTTTTTAATTTTGGAAAGCCCAAGAATTTGTCCATATAAAATAACAATAACTATCGTCTGGTCTTCACATGAGCAGGTTTAATTTTCGTCATGTGGACGGTTTTCAMAGTCGTTCCCAGTCTTCTCTTGAGTTTTGGAAAGTTCAGTTAGCCTGCCTTCCTGGGGTTTTGTGGTTTTTAAGTCTGCTTTCAGTAAAAGTGGTCAACATAAAGATTTCCGGCTGTACATGGTTATATATTTTACTCAGTTTGACGGTCTTTAAAATTTAAAACTACTTACCAGCGCCGTAGCCAGAGGGAAATGTTAACCGAGGCACTTTACGCGACCGGCGGAAGCGGTCGTATCTTTTCGCAGGCATACTTCCCCGAAAAATTTTGTAATTCAGACACCCGGWAACGTGATTTCCAGCGTTTTGCCAAGCATATTGTGACTTTTTATTTTACACCATTGATCGAACTTTTTTATTTTGGATACGAATTAAAKAAAACTCGRTAAACTTTTACCGAGGCAAGTGCCTCGCTTGCCTGATCGTAGCTCCGGCGCTGCTTATTAAGAATTRTTTCATATATCATGATGTTCTTTTTCAGGGAATTGTACTTTTGATAATGGATTTTGCAACTGGCAAAACGCCCATTCTGGTGACACGTTTGATTGGCTAAGAAATAMAGRTGGAACACAAAGCTCCGGAACTGGTCCTTCCAAGGACGTTAGTGGAAAAGGTACATTTTCTATTGTTTTGACGGTGTTGACATCGTTGGTAATAAGCTCACTTCTTAATATGTCCTTAATTTGATCCAATCAGAATTTTCAGTACGAGAAGATAAAACTCGCATCTCCAAAGCGRTCATATAATATTTCGTTTACTAAGTAATTAGTAACTTTTATTTACCTAGTAAAAATGATACTGGGGTACTGGGGGGAAGTTTTCAAAACTGAAACTCTKCATATCAAACTTAATGGTGACAAAAAGTCCGTGATCACTCAAGCGTAATCTGACAGTYCGTATGAAGTGTCAAATYCGACGAAAAGAGRCCAGATTTCAAGACTTTTTGAAGAAATGCRATGATATCAAAGACAATCCTAAAAACCTACCATCGAATCTAAGAAATAAAAAAATATATGTGACCTTTCTGTGTATTCTTCGTGAGAAAATTTGAAAATCCAAGTATGTATTTTTGCCTTTGAAGAGTTTGAGTTGAGCATCAAAATAGGCAGGCGATCAGAGGTAGACCAAGCTAGGCATTTGTGTACTTTTTAGAAATATTTAAAACATAGCAAAAATAAACATCTGTACCTGTGTATTGTGTTTTTCTTYACATTTCTGTGAAGTTTAAGGCTTGAGCGATTTATGCCTGTGGTTTTGATGGCAGGGGTGGTCTARTGGTTAAGCTGCTGGCCTCTCACCGCTGTGGTCCGGGTTCGATTCCCGGGCACGGGCCACATTTGAGTTTGAGTTTGTTTGATGTGTTGTTCTCTCCCTTGCCACGAGGGTTTTTCTTCGGGTCCTCTGGTTTTCCTCCCTCARTAAAAATCAACATGTGAGGAGTGTTGTGTGCTAAAATACTTAATGTAGAGGTAGTGAGTGTGGGAGTACAGGTTCCGCAGTAATTGGCTCACGCTGTTGCGGTGTCCCTGCCCATACTAGGGGCAAAGCTAATAAACTAAACTATTCTTATGAAGGCTATTGAAGTAAAGGTTATTGTTGRAGAGTCCCAGGGTTTCGGAGAGCAAAATCCGAGATATTTTTTTAAAGCTTTTTGCTTTTCTAATGACCGATAAACCTATAAAATCTTTTWAAAAATGRCGTATTTGTGCTCTTTTTGGCCTCTTCATTTATAACATATCAAAAGATCTAATCTAAGACATCTAAGCAAATGTCAACCGATGTATGGCAATAAGGACATGGTWACGTCGATAAATTCTATTATTTCATAGCCCACTAAAACAGCCCAACCCGTAATGTATGCAAAGAGAGTGATACATATTTAGGTGATAATGAAAATAGGTTAATGAACGTGACTGCAGCGCAATTGTTATTAACTGTATGCATCCTCTTACTACACAGGACATTACGTGTATATAGAAACCTCCCATCCTCGTAAAAAAGGGGAAGAAGCGAGTCTTCACGTGGGACCACTTATTGGAGTACTTTGTATGAAATTCTCATACCATATGTACGGTAGAGACACCGGGGATTTGCAAATATATATGAAAGAAAGAGATCAATCCAAGCAGYTATTTTTGTGGGGTAAATACGGTGAACAGGGTCGAGAGTGGAAGAAGTCTAACGTTACTGTATATGGACTTGCTTATGACGTAAGTCTCAAATATCATTTCATCGTATATTAAGTAACAATGCGCTTAAGAAYTCTCTRTTGTTCTGCAGCATTGCAACTTTCCCATGAACGAATGTCTTGGTTTTCACATTAATTATATATCAACCTGTGGCTAACACATTTTTGAAATAAAATGTTGATAAACTCTATTTTGAAACAAAGTTTCTTTTGTATTAAAAGCTCTTATCCAATCATAACCACTCAAAACAATAGCCAAAAGATGCTTCTAATTTGCTATGTTCCCCACGTAGAATTGCCTTAATATTGAAGCTAAAGAAAGCTTTCATGAAAGTGAAAACAGACATCAAATGAATTATTAGAAATTGCGCTAACTTGTAAAATTATAGCAGATTTTCATGTTTAAACCAATGGGAGGGATGAATTATACAATGCACAATTAGCACCTTCTTGCATTCCTTTGCCGTTTGCTTCCCTAGTTCTCCAAGCAATTTCTCCAAGAATTTTAACGGATTTTAGTTCCAAATTAGTGTTGGAAATTTTGAAGCCGCTTAAACCACTCAAGATCGTGTTTTAAACTATACATAAGGATCGAGTAGTTTGAATATCAGACTCGACCTATTTTGGTAGAAGTCCCGGGGGGGACTCCCTTATAAAAGTTGGTAGGTATGCTCGACGGACGGATTGAAAAATGACCTCAAAAGGTACGCATAAATTAATTCAGGCGTCGATTCCATAGCCTTCAAAAACTCATACATAATTAATGAGACCCTAGCAAAGGTCTCAGGTTTGAAACCTGATCATTGACCAATGCAGGATGTCAACCAATTGCAGTGAACAGCCAAGAGCGGTTCTATTTTACTTTATGCGTATTCAATGTGGGATGACAAGAGTGCTTTATAAAGTGATTCGCGCATGATCATTTTGTCCCATTTATCTCTGAACATATTTATACGGCAATTTATCCAAGAATTTAACGGATTTGAGTTTCAAATTAGTGTTGGAGTTTTTGAAGCCGTTTAAAACAATCGAGATCGTGTTTTATCGGGTATAAAGATTCTCGTCTTCGGCTCGAATCTTTATACCTGATAAACAGTCTCTCTCATGTTTTAAACTATACGACTTCTTTAATAATAGAAAAGCTCAAGTTCAAGTAATAAATAAAATATGAGCGGGAGACCTTTATAGGCATTTAAAACTGCGAGCTGCAAGCGAGCAGTTTTATAGCCCATAGAGGTAGGACGCGAATATTTTATATTGCTTATCAATAAATTCCAACATAAGGTAAACCATATT